ATATATATATATATATATATATGTGTGTGTGTGTATGTATATATGATTCAATGGTTGCGGGTAAACGGGTAGGGTAATTGGGTCGGGTAATGGGTTTGCCTACTATACCCGCACCCGACCCGACCCGAGATTCGGGTAGCATAATTCTACCCTAACCCGACCCGAAACCCAATCATCTCGGGTTTACCTGACCCAAAAATGCGGGTAACCCGACCCTATGGGTTTTATTGACATCCCTATTGGGGGAGCATGACTCAAGCAGCCGCGATCAAGTTGTCCTCACTTATTAAAGCGATTAAGCTCACAGGACCCCTCAACAAAAAAGCAAACTCAATTGTTTCTTCGTCATTAAAAAGCTTGGACTCAAGGGGCTGATGAACTTCCATTCTTCAATCAGAGTGAGAAAAGATCAATAGAAAAGATCAATGCCAAAAGTGAGAAGAGAGAAATGAGAGCGAGACATTTTATAGCAAGCAGCTCAAATGTCTACCTGTACAATAGTACCAGGTGCTCACCAAACACATATATTCATCTGGAATATCCTATCATACTTTTTGTACACGTAAAGTTAATCATGCACATAAGATGGGGGACAAGTGATATGGAAAAAATATACTTTTACTAAACGACACATGGCTCGATTGTATAAAGACACGTGTGTTCCAAAGACCATGAGCGTCGAAGGTCAAAACTAAAGCCCAACTCAATTTTAGGCCCAGGTCCCGAGGTGGCCCAATTTGGGGACCATAGTCTCCCAAGCTACGTATTGGGTTGGGGAGTCCTTTGTCTAGAGAGGGAAGATCAAGGTCGACCCACCTCTATAAAAAGACGACCAAGGTCAAGGTCAAGGTAAGGAGACTCTCTTCTCTTATACACCTAATCTACAACTGCCACCCTACAACCCCATTTCTAACTTAAGCGTTAGATGATCTATCCTGTTGACCCTGGGCTTTGTTTTGCAGGCGTCGGAGCAAAGAAATCGTGCTAAGGAGGACTTCGGAGCATACATCTCCTCCACGTGTCCTCAGACTAATGTCAGGATTTCTTGCATCATCAATGATAATAAATAGAAAATATAATAAGAATTCATTTCATGGTTCTTGAATGGGTGGAAGTCCCACATTAAGAGGTCGTTATTCGAACACATAACATAAAAGCACGCTTTTTTCAACGTTTCTTGTCAAAGCAGGACTATGATCTTTGTTCAGAAGTCCTATCGAGTGAGAGGGGACTTCAATTTTTAACACTCGCCTTTGCATGGGGCCTCTGTGCAGCGGCAGACGGGCTTTCCAGAAGCTTCCCAACCGTTGTAACCACGTTCCAAAATCATGATGTTTTGCGCTCCCACATCCTCCGTGTTAGCAAGATAATCAGCAAACCTACGGGCGCATTTGGGGCCACGAACCTGTTAAAACAAATCATTTGGTGGCATTGACGTTATCGAGATAAACAGTAATTTTATTTATTTATATTT